TATTCTTGATATATTCATTATATATATATATTTATATATACACACACATTACAACAAATGTGTTTTCTAAATAGCACATCCACAGCGGGTTAAGACTCAGGGTACCAGGTCTGGTTACTTTGTTTCTGCAGAAAAAATGCAGAAACCCAAGGGAAGGGTGGCAGAGAAAGGGATGGGGGTGAAAAACCCAAAAATCGTAAGGTGGGAATCCACTCACACACTACAACATTGTCCCAAAGTGCTGTTTCCAACAGAAACGCGAGGCGATGGTCCACACAGCAAGAGAGCAGGCAGGAGGAGAGGGGGGCAGGGGAAATGTACCATTCAAATCACAATTAAAGTACAACTGTACATATCCCGGGAAGCTTATGGCGCGCTCTGCTAAGGGCTACGAGCTGGCGCCTGTGTGCGTGGGGGCGTTGGGGCAGGGCGGGGGTGCCACCAAGGTTGTACCATTTTTCCAGCTGTTCAGCTACCAGAAAGATTTTTAAAAGAAGTAATTAAATTCTAGGGAATAAGGAATTTCTGAGCGACAGTGATTTTTTTTTCTTGTTTTACAAAAAGGGTGTGAAACCCTCAACTGCCCCACCCCAGGGTTATTTCAAACGCTGAAAACCAAGAATGGCTTTACCTATCTGACAGCATCCCCGTTCCTTCCCAAAAGGCTCCCACTTGCCAGCCCCCACCACCCACCTCTCCTACCCCTGGCACCGGGAGCAGCTCAAACCTCTTCCTCAGCATCGCTCCACCACCCGCCAGCACCTCTCCCCTCACCCTGCAGGTAACCCCTTCAGCAAAAACCTCCATGCAAGGGTGATTCAGACACAGGAGGGAGCTTTCCTCCTTTCCTGCACTTTAAGATGGGGGAGGTTAGTGGTTTTGTCAGATTCGGTGTCTGTGCTGGAAACTCTTACTTGGGCCAGGACCCCTTCCCAGGCAACTAATTCCACCCAACATGCCAACAACCCACGCACCAGCTTCCCACCCATTATTTACCAAGAGGCTTTGAAACCAAGTGGTGATGGGAATGGCAGGGCTCTGAATTAAGCCTGGAGGGGAATGTAGACACCTGCCCAAATCCTCTTGTGTTTCCTTGTACCTCAGCACTCGTGAAAAGGAATGAGTGCGGTGGGAGATGTCCCTGCTCAAAGGACTTTTTCACTTCCAAAGCCTGGTTTGGGGTGTTTGGGTTTTTTCACTGTAGCGATTTCTGTGCCTTGACTTGTCTGCAGAGGGAGAGGATGGGCTGGGGGCAACTGCTCCATCAGGCATCGGGCGGTGGGTGAGAGATGGGCCCGATGCAGCGGTGATGGCACAGTGTGCTCCTCAGCTCCAGGACACCACTGAAGCAGCCTCCTGCTTCCCAGTCCTTCTGTCTCCCAAACACATTCTAGGGGGGCAGAGGATCAGCTCAGTCGCAAACATTAATTTTGCAGCAATCCAAGCACTCTGGAACGGGGGCTAATGCAACCACTGCTTTTAGCACGCCCCCCAAGATTCAGAGAGGCTGTGGGTGAGGACCCTCCTGACACCGAATTAAATCCAGCGCTATGGTCCAGCCCGCGGGCGTTGGCACAGCTGAACCACCATCATTTTCATACAATAAAACCAAAAAATTCAAAGCATACCATTAAAACCCTTTTATAACCCTATGTACATATGCACTGTTGATGCATCATCGACTTCTTTTGCCTTTTTGTTGCTTTTTGAATTTAAAAATCCCCCAGTCCAAGGGCATGCTTCAAAAGCATTTTTTTTTCCCTTACCAAATCCGAAATTCATCTTCTGTGAGAGAAGCTCTGGCCCTACAGAAACCACTGGGAAAACTCTAGGAGACCACAACGGGGTTGGAGCTCATCCACTGAGAGTTACCAGCAGAAGGATCAAGGACTGGGAGGGCGGCAAAAAACATCTATGTACCTTTTCGTTCAATGGATACTGCATGACAGCATTAAACAGAAGTAATCCCACGTCATAAATACAACAAGCCCAAATGATCCAAAGTTAGGTAGAAGGGAAAAGAAGAAAGGAGGAAAGAAAAAAAAAGAATAAGAAAAAAAAAGGAGAGAAAAAGAAATAGTCTTAATCCTTTTAATAGTTCTTTTGCTGAGGGTATTTTTTCACCTCTTTAAAAAGATACAGTCAAAAGCTCTCGGACTAAAGGAACACGTGGCCCCAGCTACTCCTCAGACAAGATGTACGTGCCACAGGCTGGAGAAATCCTGCAGCGCTGGCAGGTTTCAGTAGCCTCCAGCCCCACATGGAGCTGGAAAGTGTTGGTGGCCTCCACCGGCAGTGAAAGAGGAGTTTGATGCCTCAATCAGGCGACTGTTTAAAAAGCGACAGTCGTCAGACGGTCTGAAAACCTCCTAAATGCTGGAGAGCCGCTGGCCGCGTCTCCTTCCCCTCCGCAGAGTCACATCATGAGCAGTATGTACAACGAAGATGACTTCAATGCTTTTCTTCTTTGTACGATCACGTACCTATATAGCGAACGTCCATCTGGTTTGGTCTTGTCCTCGGCCAATGCACCGATCGCTTCGTCCCAGGCTGGGGAGGACAGGGAGCCCGAAGCCCTGGGGAAAGGCAGAGTCATGAATCCCACGGGCACAAGTTCCAGCATCCGCGTGCTAGGGTCTCGTCTCCCCCCTTGGTGCTTCAGGAGCAATGCGGAAGGTCATCACCGCTGCGCGTTGCCTTCTACGGGGAGAATGGCGTGGTGCAGGCTCCGTGTGTGCTTCGAATCTAGCGTTTCGTGCTCTTCTGTGAAGCTGTCTGGGCTCGCCGCTCCGTCTAAAGAACTTCCACAACTAGAGTTAGGAGACAACATGTCCTGCAGGAGGTCTTCCTGGACTATCCCAGAGTCTTTGTTCACTTTTCCCCTTTGGTTTCCTTCTTCCTCCTGGTCGTTGAGCAGTTTGGCCAGGAAGTTGATGTATTTCATAGCCAGGCGCAAAATCTCGTTCTTGCTCAGTTTTTTGTCGGGGGGGTGGGTAGGGATGAGCTTGCGAAGCTCTGCAAAGGCTCCGTTGACATTCTGCTGTCTCCACCTCTCCCGGCTATTGGTAAAAATGCGACGAACCACTTTCGTGTGAGGACCTGCAATTGCAACAATGTAGAGTTAGGAGCGGGGTATAACAGGTCATTTATTACTTTGCTAATTAGGTCACCATTTCCCAAATTGACCCAACTTATTTTAGTGACATCAACAAAGCGGTGAAGCAGGAGTTTCCAGTAACTTGAAGCTAACCTGATGAGCTGAGGCAGTCCTAACTTCTGTCCAGTCTAGTATAAGGGAAATATGAAATTGCATCTTTTTGGTTGTCTCCTGAGACACTTAAATTTACCCCTCCAACGAGGAAGGCTTAAGCCATGACACATGTACAGAAGGCTGCTATATTTTTAGGTTATCTCAGCTCATCAACAAGGCTGTATCAGCAACAAGGGTCCTATTAAAAGTTTCTCACCAGATGGTTTTAATTTCTATCCCAAAAGTGTCTTAAGGATGTGCCATCGGGACAGGGGCAAATTAACTTGAGCAGAGGCTTTGACAGCTCTAAGATCCAGAGATATTCCCTGATGTAGGCAGGAACCAGGATTGCCACCAGCCCTCTGGGTGGTTTACATGGAACTGGGTGTCAGGATTCACCCTGCAGCAATGAGGACAGGTATCAATATGACCCACAGAGTGAAAACAGTGTCCTTGCTGGAAGGGTGATCACAGGTGGAGGATGAAGCAGTAACTTTATAGCTGTATTTCTAATGGGGCACATTACACTGGATGGATGAACGAAGCACAGCAATTCTCCTTCCAGATCATCAGGGTAACTCCTGTTCACACGAGCAAGACGTATCTGTGCTAGGAGAAAACCAAAAGCACATCTACCCACAAGTACTGTGCTACAGGAGTAGCAATGCTGTAAGTCAGGACTGCGGGTCCCTGGGTCCGTGGAAACCAGTCCATGTAAGGTGACGCTACCACAAGATGCTTTTAGTGTTACATCCTTTTCATCCTCAATTCCAGAAGACACCAACAGCGGAAGGATAGAACAATCTCATGAAGGTCTGGGTGAATGAGTATGGCAAAAACCCCCACATGATGGGAAGCATTACGCAAAATGAAAATCATCACAAAGTATGAACAAAGACATGCAGATGCCACATCGGTGGGTCTTATCCTTAAGGGCAGGCTGTGGATATTCCCATCTGCACCATCTCTCCCCTGTAACCCTGACTCTGAAACGTTTGCCTAACTGATTCTTTCTGGTGGGAGAAAGTCCCCGGCCACTGTGAGCAGTTTAAGCTATACCTCTGCCATCAACCAGTGAATCCAGTGTCCCAGGGGCCACATCATTATTCTTACATAGCAAAACTCATGGCTGTTTTGACTCTGACAGAGATGCCAAAGAGATGCGGTTTTGGAGGTACCCTAGTCAGGCTGCACCTAAATAGATCCCACCTGGCACTACGCAAAAATAGGAAACTCACACTCTGGCTGATTAAACACCACCACACTTTCCTCCTTTCAAGGGAAACCGAGCCCCTTTGGTCCAGCACATCACACAAAACACCCACCACGGCAGGATTTGCATGGGGACACGCTCCCAAGTGGCCACATTAAAGCTACCAGCTTCTCCAGCATGTGAGCTGCCATACAACTCACTTCCCCTTACAGTGTGCTCAGGAGCAGGGAGTCCTCCGAAATCACAAAGAACCCCTGGGACAAACTGGAGGAATGTCAGAACAAGAAATTCGTCTCCAACCTCTAAGGTCCCAATCTGATGCTTTAATAAAGGCAATTTTCCAAACAAGTAAATGTTGTTTGTATGAATTAACATGCAAGAGCTTGTGTCCCTGATGCGCACAGCCCATTGTGTCACAGGGTGGTGGGGAAGGTGGTGCCGAACAAGGGCGCCTCGACACCACCAGTCTGCCCAGCACTGCTAATAAGGCAGTGGAGAACTTGCTACAACCTACTACAATAATACAATGTTTTCACACTTGGCTGCTCTTTCCAGACACGACAAAGCAACCAGCCCTGAACCCAGAAAGAGATGCAGGCTTAAAACATTTTTGCATCTGTAAGAGTATGAGAAAAAAACCCAAACACCTTGGATACTGTTTAGTTTCAAACAAAATTCTCAAGAGACTTCCAGTCTTCAAACATGCATCTCTATTCACCGAAAGCTGCTGACTAAAAGGCATTTATTCATAAATGGGTTAGAAATCAGAAAAAAGGCTGTTCGTTTTCATCCAGGGGCACCCAAATCAAGCTCCAGTATATTAGACAAATTCTGATACCACTCAGCTTTTTGATTCCTACATCAACCAAATTAGACATATCTTTTAGGAAGAAATCAGGCTTTGGCCAAAACATGTCAGGCAATGGAGAAATTTTAAATGCCCCATAGCTGTGTTATAATAGAAGAGATTTAGTTCACATAAAGCAACTTGCCTCATGATTAATTCAAGAAGTCAGCTGAGAATTTTTGCCTGGATTTTGTTCCAGTTGATTGACTGACATTTTTTAAATTGTAACTAGAGATCAGAGAAAAAAACCAAACTAATAAAAATATGAGTTTTCAGAGTTTCAGAATTTCCTTGCAAATACATTTGTTTACATTTTTATCTCTGTTCATACCTATTTTTTAAGAAGATATTCAATGCACCAAACTTTCTCCAGAACGGATAAAGAAATAGTTGCAAAAAAACCCACCACTCTCCATTCGTTTCCTTACAGAGGAAACCAAACAGCAAGCCCCTGGCAGGACTCCTCTGCTCTTCTGCACCTCCCAAGGGCTGAGGACCCTCAGGAGCAACGCTCCTGCGTGTGGCCAATGTTACCCGGCAGGTGACCATCAGAGCAACGAACTAAGCCCAGCAGACCACACAGATACCTCAGCATAGGAGGCACATCCCTACAAATTACCTCTGCTCAGACAGCATCATCTGATACCTGTTTTTCCCCAAAAAAATGCTGAACCCAGTCTTGGAAATTCACATGAGCCAGAAGCTGCAGGACTGGGGCTTAATCTGTACACCTGCGTTAAGCACATATCCAAAAACTCGGTGACAGCCAAGTATCTCTGTAATCCTTAATATCTAATTTAACAGCAAGTCGAAAGCTTTAGCCGACCACAGACACCACAATTTGATGGACTCTTCACCATAACCGCTAAGCCTCTGAATCGAAACCCAGACAAAAAGACCTTGTGCCGGGGGCTGCAGCAAACCCTGCCCCTCGGGGCTGCGGTCTGAAAGGACCGGGCCGACAGAGGAGGGGAGAGAGGGGCTGATGAACGCAGATAATGCCCTGAGCCCATCATTTCCTACCGTATTCTTTTAGAGTAATGTGGATTATTATTTGATCCGGTTTTAGCTTAGCCGGGTAGCAGGGAAGGGACAGCTAGCTAGAAAGAATAGAAATTAATTGTCTGACGATTGAAATGCAGCGTTTACAATCGCTTAAGAGAAAACACATTTCAATGGATCTCATTTGTACGGGCTGTTAACTCTGCAGATAAGCGGGTCAGCCTTCCACTCGCAAAGTGTTCTCGCAAACAACCCTTTGCGTGGGCAGCGCT